TGCCTCCTTTTTCAGTGACTACGCCTCCAGGCCCGCCTTCAAGGCCTGCCTTTCAGTGAAAAACGAGCTGCAGTACGAAAAAGCATGAAAATCGGACTTGTACAGTGGTAGAGTCAAATCGGGGAATGAAAAGTGCGGATGGGGCGTAGCGTTGGGGATGGAGTCAATTGGGCACGTACAAACTGGGATCGAATGGGGTCCTATCTAGGGCAGTTGGCATGTTTTTCTGCTTTTTTTCTTCACTATCGAGTTACTCAGCACCTTGTCGTCTATATGCAAACCCCTAATCCACTATCCGTGATGGTGAATGATCGCGGGCTCTGCCTTTAAGCAAGTATTCACGAGGGGCGCATCAATGAGAAATGTAGTGGCTCACTGTCCCACTTATGTCTCCGCCCATATGGTCATCATGAACTGTATTTTGTAGCTCAGGGATATTGCCTACCTTTAGCTCCAGTCTCTAAAAGTTCGCCTCAATGGAGTTCTGGGAAGGTTCATAGAGATCAACAAAAGCAGCCGCAACTAGTGCCTGCCATTGAGAGAAAACACCAACTACTTATATTTGTAGAGCTCGGACGGATTTGCTTAACCGCCTCCGTGGCAGCTTTATCAGAGCCACTGGCGTTATGAGCTTGAGATCCTGAAATCCTTCTTCTGGGCAGACTACGTTCACCTGAGCTGGTCCATCTAACTACAAGATGCGGGTGAAAAAAAACTGGTCCAAATGTCATCACTCTCTGACGGGGGCGCGGCCATTTGGATGTGTGTGTGTTTCGGCGGGAGTACCGATTGGCATGTGAAGCTTTGGGAGAAGCCCCGAGAGAGAGCTTTGTAGGAAAAGGTGCTTCGTAGCACCTGATTGGGGGCACGGTATCCTCTACAAGGCATGCCCATCCTCTATGCCTTGCCAAATTATCGCGCCCACTACCTTTAACCCTGTGAGTGATCCTTTAGAGCTAAGCACAGCCCTGGGGTTGCTCTAGGAGCTGGGCAGCTGCAGTTGAACAGGAATTAAAGTACTTCAGTACACACAAATTTCGGCCTCCATGCAGACGCAGACCTTCGAGAACGGCTCGGGTATGCGCTCCCATCCTCATTCATTGACTCAAATGAGAACTGACAACTTGGAGGTCCGCTGAGATGGCAGCAACAAATGAGAAAACGGATTTTGCCCTGGAGATTTGGATCGTCCAGCAATATCGGAGGTCGGAGCCATACAATTGGGCGCATGGACTTACTCATGAGATGAGAGATTCGGGAAGAATGTATAAGGTGTAATGTAAAGCATGGGAGACTGTATAAGAGACGGAAATGGTTCGAAGCAGGGAAGTCTTTGACTAGTTCCGAGCTATTACACGCATACTTCAAGCAGCCCCCTAGTTTGTGGGTGGGCTTTTCAATTTTCAGGACGGTTGTTTTTCTATTTCACCCATTTACCATCGGAGTGCTCTCAATTTCTTCCCGAGCTACTAGGCAAACCATGGTGGGCAACAAGAAGGGGAACCTAATGGGGAATCAGTTTGGATTACCTGGGCAACATATCACATGTTCTAGACCTCGAAATGATCCTCTTCTTTCAAGTGGGAGGATCTCCATTTACATGGTTCCTTCACGGGGTGGGAGGGAGTCCCCTTATGTGGTCTTCAAATTCAGACCACTGTACTATTGGAGCCCATACTCCCTGAACTTGTGCAGGTCTCTTTGCCTTCGTCCTTCGCTAAGCCGACATTCCCCAAGGGACCTTTTTCGGAATTTTTCCCCCCATAGTTTAGATGTAACGTCAGAATTTTGTGTGTAGGAGTCCAGCTAGCTTCATCGATTTTGTTAAACGAGTGGTGGTCGCGGCGAGTGTGTTTGTAAGTGATTATGTCGTTTAGGATCCTCTTCAATGGTGGCTGGCCGCTGTTTACGTAAACAGATGTGGGTTTGAACAGACACGAGAACGAATGAGTTGCACGTAAGCACACAAAAGACATCGAACTTGACGACAACATACAGATCGGGATCATTGACTCAAGGAATGGCGACGGTTAAGGGTAGAAGAATGGGTTGATATTAAAGGCACTTTCCGCGATAAAATAAGGCTATGACCTTTCAAATGTGTCAGACGATCCGGAAGGAGATTGCGGAGGCTGCGCTACCTTTAGAAAGTGAAAATCGGCAAGAATTCCGCTTTAAGCTAACCAATTAGGCCCATTGGCGCCCCTTAGGCCCATGCCGACCCCCACCGGCTGCTAGCTACTAGCTAGTAGCCACTATACTATCTCTCTCATTCCGAATGGTGAGAGTGAGGTGATAAGATAAAAGAGCTGATATCTTTATGATAACGACGAGTGGAAATTCGTACAAACATGCGTTTTCTTCATTGCATGCATGTACAAGTTGGGGTCGATATGGAATCCTATTTAGGGCATTCTCGGCTGTTTTTCCGCTGCTTTTCTTCCGCTAATCAGATACCAAGCCTTTCTTCGTTCCTATGTGGGTTTTCTGTTACCCCACAATCTGTTGGTCGCGGGTTTTGGCTTTAACATAGACAACAAAAAACGTCCATGAGAATTTAATGAAAAGTTCTTCCGCTTTCCCCCAGTGAAAAACTACATCGAGAGGGAGAAGTGCGAAGACGGAAGGAAAACCGAGAAAAAATCAACAACGGAAATCATTTTCTCGGAGCAATGCGATTTCCCTGGCCTTAGGCAACAAATTAGGACCCGTCTTTCTGCGGTCTCGACGTAACAAACACGCCCTGCCTACACTCTCTTTCTGCCAGCAAAACTGACCGTCGATACTGTTGCCCACTTTAGAAGCTAAAGCAGAGATCGCCTGTAATCAGCAGGGCACAGCATTCGATGGGGATTTTGGTCAGGCCTGTACGACCCCCCCTTTTTGGGGGTTCGGTACGACCCCCCCTTTTAGTGTTTGACGTCACATAATTCCTGAAATTAGATATAAACAATTAGATATAAAAAATAGATATAAACAGTCCTACCTAAATTGACTTGATTTACTTATGTACAAGCGTTTGTGAATCAAAAACACGGATGAGTAGCATAAACACAGCATAAATGCGAGTTAAATGAGACTATGACTAAAACGAAAAAACAAAAGCGGCATAACAGAAAAAGAAAACAAAAAAGAAATACGCCTAAAATGCATTAACCCCGAGATGTGGAGTACGGTAGCAGAGATGCGTACGTAATTGCAGCCGTGACTGGAGCAAACGGCTATTAGCCATGGAGCGAGAATTTTCAGCAAAGTAGGGTGTCTTTGAAGGACCATAACTTCCTCAAAAGCGGACCTGTGGGGAAGAGGAGAGCGTATTGGTAAATTAGAAGGTTTGGTCTTCCTGAAAGTACTAAAATGTTTATGAAGGTCGCGAAAATCACAGAGAAAGCTGCCATAGGGATTCGTTGGGGAGTGAAGGGTTGAAGTTCAAGTTGAACAGGTTTGAATCAATATATTTTTTTTGTAACTCAACATTTCACAAATCTGAGAACGGATCCGTGAGCTCTCAGATTTCTTCTTTCTAAAAAACCTATTAACTTGCTTCTTGAAGTCTCGGGATTCATGAGATCTCGCGATGGGGATTTCTTAGGGAGCACTCCCAGCCGCGCGAAAAACCCGTTTCCTGTGCACCGTTTCAAGTGAGCGTGTTCGAATAGCCAGGAACGCATGTAGAACGTATCCTGTGGTGGAGCAGGAGCAGGATATGGTTCGTTTAGCGCCGATCACGCTGACTTTGTATGCGCCGCGCACTGAGGTCCGCGCAGAAGTGATGGGATGGTGCAAC